GAGTCCCGCATCGGGCTCCATGCTCGGCAGGGAGTCTGCTTCTCCCTCTGACCCTCCCCCCTCTCATGTGCTCTCTCTCATTCTCTCTCTCACAAATAAATAAATAAAATCTTAAAAAAAAAAAAGTGCTTTCCAGGAAGGGCTGCCATGAGGAGGGAATGAGATCATGGCAACCCGGCCCTGGAGGCCATTCCCTCCTAATCCCTGAGCAACAACAGCCATTGTGGACTGAGCACTTCCAACCATATTCTGAGACATGTCATCATTCCTGTGTTTCAGGCTCAGAGAGGGTAGCTTCAGTCATAGCATCTCCCCCGACCCCCCCCCACACACACACATTGTGGACAACCTGACCTTCCCTCCCAGGTGCCAATTCCCTCCCAGCATCCTCCTGTTCCCTGACTTGCACTTTCCAGATTGGGGCCGCTATCTATCTGTTGCTCCCACCAGAGCCCTGACTAATACACACACAGCCAGTGAGTGGCCGAGTCTGGAGGTGACCCAGGGCTTTTCTGCAAGCTCCCAAGGCCAGTATCACTGGCTAGGAGGCCACTCAGAACTCTGGCAGACTGAGGGGACCAGGCTCCAGATGCTGCCATGCCCTTCAGAGAGGCTTGGGGGAGGGGGGATGGAGCAGGAAAGCTTGCACAGGGAATTAGCAGCATCTGTCTCATTCTGACTTGGGACGTCAGGAATGTGGCAAGCGTGTGCCTGCCAGGGATGCTGGCAGGGAGGGGGCACAGGGTGGGTAGCTGAGCTCCTCCTGGCCCCTGAGACCTACCAGGCACCATCTGCCCCTGTCACTCTGAGTGACCTGACTCTGGTCTCCAATTTGCACAGGACCTGCCGGGAACCTGGACTTGGGGGAACTGGGTGGGGGGTCAACTCAGCTCCTTCCTTAGTCCCCCATCCTTGTGACCTTGGGCCTGTCACATCCCATTTCTCCGTCATTAAATTGGGAAGACTGATCTTTGTCTGTTGAGGCTGTGGTGAGACACAGTAGTGGGTGGCCGAGCCTAGCTCAGCTGTGGGCTCACAGTGGGCAAGTGGAAAAACGGGAGTTCTCATTCTTCACCCCCTGTCTTTATACACTACTCTAGCTTCCCAACCCTTTCCTCCCCCAGATGGATTCTTAGGGACCTGCCTGTCCTGTGATTGACTGGGCTGGGCACAGTGACCTCCAGTGGGAGACTAGGTTTGGGAGGGGGGCTCAGTCAGAAGGAGAGTGCATAGGTGGGGGTGCGAAGAGACCCAGAGCAAAAAGAGAAGCATGGCCATGAGCTGCTGCTCAGTCTGTCAGGACAGCCCAGCCTCAGATTCTTAGATCCAGGCCCTTCTGACCCTATATGTATTTTCAGCTGCCACCCCCTGGGAGGCCATGGGGCAATCCAGGTGGCCCTCACAAAGGGTCTGTCCTGTCCCAGGAAAGGACAGGGCAGGAGGGAGCACCAGGCGCTGGGTCAGGTACCTCCACCCTATGGTTCAGGGGCTGGAGAGCAGCGGTAACTGCCTGGATGGCCCCCAGGGAAGGTTCCAGGCTCAGAGCCCTGGGAAGCTGATCTCCCTGCTCCCCCCAGAGGGTGTTGCGGGGAACGGGGCCATGGCGGCCTCTCCAACGGAGGACCAGGCAGGCAGGGACAGCTGCAGCCTAGCCGGGCGGCAACCAGCTGCTGCCCGGGAGACTGGCCAGGGTGGGGCGGGGCGGGCACAGCCCCCACAAGCCCCCCAGTCTGAGCAGCAGAGCGTGGGAGCGGGCAGCAGCCTCGAAGCTGGGTTTCAGGCTTTCACGCTGTGTTAACGGTCAGCTTGGTTAATGCTGAGCAGATGGGGGAGGGGTGCTGCCAGCTCCCTTGGGGACAGTCCCAGGGCAGGCACATGCACACGCATGTGCAGAGGGTACAAGAGTTCCATCCAGCGGATAGGGGTGCCGTGTGGACTCCTCTGCCATTAGCGCTCATTCAGACCATCACGTACACAAGATGGTGCTGGTAAGACAGACCAAGACAGAGGTGCACACAGGTTCCTGGGGGCGCCCTGGGGTAGCTGTAGATGGATGCGAGCCCGAGACCCGGCACAGAGCCCACCATTTGTATCACTCAGGCAAAACTCCCAGCTTGGGGATCCCTCCACCCTGTTTCCCCTCCATCCACTGTAGGGAAGACACCAGGAACACAGAGGTTTATTTCAAAAAATAATTTATAAAAGGGCATTTGCTTCTGTGTTTTCGGTAGGCTTCCAGCTGCTCAGCTAGGAGCACAGGGACCGATGCTCTTTCCACCAAGATGCTGGGACAAGCGGCAAAGGGGAGACCAGAGGAAATGGTGTTCAGAGGCCCAAGACCTCCCTTGGTACAAGGAAGCAAGGAGGTTTAGGACAGTTCTACAGCTAGGTCCAGCCAAACCCCTGGATCAAGGACTGAGTGCCAAGGCCCAGGAGGCCAGGCAGAACCCTAACACTCAGGCCATCAGAACACTGGAGCCATGACTGCAAAGGCAAGGACAGGGCCTTAAGACTGGGGCTGCAGCCTGGCCTGGGAATCCGAGGCCAGAGCAGGAAGCCTCATCTAGGGACCCCAGGAACAAGAACGGACCTCCCCAAAGCAGAACTAGAGGTCTGGGACAGTACCCTGAAGCTGGGGCCTGAGGTTGCAGAAGTCAAGCGCTGCCAGGCTGCAGCTAAGCCAGGGAGGCTGAAGGCCCCCGGCCCGCCTGGCCACCCAACCTTGTGCCCCAGCTCATGTCTGCGCCGCAGGGAAGGAGAAGGCGCGGGGCCCCAGGGGCAGGGGGTCGTGGCAGAAGACAGAGTCGATGGAGGAGCAGATGCTGCTGGCATCCCCACCGGCAGGGGCGTAGGGTCCAAAGGTCAGGCGGAGGTCTAGGTACTATGGGGAACAGCGCTGGTCAGTCTGGGTGGTCAGCTGGGATGCGGGCCCGAGGGGAGTGGGCAGAGAGGGCTCGCGGGACAAGAGGGGAGCCGTACCTCCTCGGAGACGGCCAGCAGGACCTTGTCCAGTGCCTCCACCAGCTGCTTGAAAGTAGGCCTCTGAGAGGGCGCCGCGTGCCAGCACTCCCGCATCAGCCCGTACCTGGCAGGGGCGGAGGCCGTGCGTCAGGGCCAGGCTTTCATGGGGGGCAGGTAGGGCCACTCAGCGGGAGGGCCCGGACACGAGGCTAGGACCTCCCCTTGGGGCTGAGGAGGGGATGGCGGCAGTGAATTAGGAGGCTGGGCCCTAAGGCCAAGGCTAAAGCAGAGGATAAGGACTGTAAAGTGGGGGAGAGGGGTGGGAGGCCTCACAGCTCTGGGGGGCAGTTCGGGGGCCGGTCCATCCGATGGCCCTCCCGCAGCAGTGAGAACAGCTCCTCCACAGGAATGCCGGGGTACGGGGAGCCCCCGAGGGTGAAGATCTCCCACAGCAGGATCCCAAACGACCACCTAGAGGCAGGACCAGGGCTCAGCAGGGCGCAGCTTTGCTCCCGACTCCTGGGGCTGGGATGGGGGACCTCACAGGCCTGATTCACCACGGAGTCTGGCCCCACCCAGGTCCTAGGGTTGTGCGACCTTGGGCAATTGCTTTGCCCTTTTTGTGGGGTAGGGCAATGATCGCTGGCAGATATTCCAGACCCCCAGCCTCCAGGACTCACACGTCACTCTGGTGTGTGTAGACTCGGTCAAATAAGGCCTCAGGTGCCATCCACTTGACAGGCAGGCGGCCCTGAATGGGGAAGGTAGGGTCATTGGCGCAGAGTCCCACAGGTCCTGGTACCCCCCACCCCCCCTTTCCAACTCTGCCCCGCCTCCCTCACATTGCTGGTTTTCTTGTAGTAGTCAATGTGGTGGACACCACGGGCCAGCCCAAAGTCGGCAATCTTCATCACATTGTCCTCTGTCACCAGTACGTTCCGGGCAGCCAGGTCCCGGTGGATGCACTGGGGGTAGGGCAGGGGATTTAGGTTTATCAGGACACGTGGCTGGATGCTGGGCACACTGTACTTCACAGTAACCCTGGGGGGAGGCATCATCCACTCGTTTCACAGACGAAGAGGTCAAGATTCAGAGACGGAAGACTAAGAAGCTAACTTCAGCGCCCACACCCTCCCTCCCACATGGCCTCTTCCCTTGCCCCGTGAGTTAGGACCTGCGAGAGGAAGGAATGGGGACATGCAGCGTCAACTGTGTACGGATGGGGGGTACAGAAGGGCTTGGGGACATTGAGACAGGGCAATGGAAAAGGGGAGAGAGGGACAAGATGAGGACATTCAATGCTGGGGGCAGGAAAGTGTACAGATGGGGCAATGAGGATGGTCCAGAGTGCTGCCCACTGCCCATACCTTCCTCGACTCTAGATACTGCATGCCCCGGGCCACCTGGTAGGCGCAGGAAACCAGGGCAGGGAAGGAAAGCGGCCCCTCACTGCTCCTCGGCCCGTCAGGGCTGAGGTCGGGGCCTGGGGGCCGCCGGGCCCGCAGGAACTCCCGCAGGTTTCCCTTGGCGGCACACTCCACGATCACATACAGGGGCCCTGTAGAGGTGAAGGGGACAGGGACACTGCTGAGGCTGTGGCTCCACACCCCACCGTCCTGCCCTTAGCCCCATTCCAACCCACCTTCCTGAGTACAGACACCCAGCAGATTGATAATGTTCTTATGTCGGCCAATCAGCTTCATCACCTCCATCTCAGAGACCAGGTCTGCCAAGTCCTTGTCGGAGGCATTGTCTGCAGGGATGACAGCCAGTGTATATACATGGGGGGGCTGCAGGGTCGGGGACAGGACATGGAGTGCTGGACCTGGAGTCAGAAAGGTCTGGACCTGAATCCCCGCTAGGCTGTGTGGTCTTTAAGAAAGTCTTCTAACTTCTCTGAACCTCAGGATCCTCTTGTATCAAAGGGGACAATGGATCATGCCCTACCTCTCACAACAGTTGCAAGGAAGCAACAAGATCAAGGGTCTACAAGAGGTGGGCCTCTCTGTGAGTGGGACCAGGAAACAGGAGAACTCTGAACAGGAAGAAGCTCTATCTGGAGGTTTGGCATTAGTTCCCGAATGGGGTGAGAGCTCCTGGGGCCGGGAAGCAGGCTGGCGCCCTGAGGTCGGACTGGGGCCTGGTGTGCCTCTGGCCTGAGAATTCAGGGAGCCGCCAGTGGGGTACAGCTAGGGAAGGCTGGGAAGAAGCTGCTCCAGATTCTCTTGAGAAGGCTGAGGACCAGGGGCTGACCTGTGGCCCTGGGCCAATGACATACCCTCCCTGCCAGGCCTCACAATGCACATTTCTCAATCCCTGCCTCCCAGAAAGTACCAGGTGGCCCCAGCTGTGCAGAGGGGAGGGGACGGGGGAGCAGAACAGTGGTTTGGGCTGCCCTTGTAGAGGGGGTGGGGGACAGCAGTGAGAGGCTCCGATGGTAGGTCCCAGGTATGTCCTATGCACTTTTTTTTTTTTAGATTTTATTTATTTATTTGAGAGAGAGAATGAGAGAGAGAGAGAGCACACAAGAGGGGGGAGCGGGAGAGGGAGAAGCAGACTCCCCACTGAGCAGGGAGCCCGATGCGGGGCTCAATCCCAGGACTCCAGGATCGTGACCTGAGCCGAAGGCAGTCGCTTAACCAACTGAGCCACCCAGCACTTTGGGGCTGGTGCTTAGACTGTTCTCCTAGAGTGGTGGACACAGGGGGACAGATCTGGGAAGGGCCCAGGGTGGGGGGGCTGAAGGTGTGACTTGGGGGTACTCAGAAGGAATGAGGTGGAAGCCTGTGAGGCTGACAAGGTTATTCAAGGCCAAGGCTGACATGGGGCTAGGGCTGAGGTGGGGGTGTCTGGCCCCAGTCACCCCAAATCCTTATAGTCATCATCATTCCACTGGTTAAGATTTTATGTATCAGGCACTTTTCACGAACCTCAGGCCAGGAGGTAGGGACTATTATTTACTCCCAGGTGACAGGTGAGCAGATCGGCTCTGAAATGGCTTGCGAGGGTTGGTAGCAGAGTTGGGCCCTAGGCCCAAGGGTGGGATCCTGCAGCCTTTCTGGCCACCAGTGTCCAATTGGTAGCACCATGAGCCTCTTCTGTTAGTCCCAAGGGCACAGCACGTCCCGTGGGGACACCACTCACCCTTGAGCATCTTGACAGCCACGGTGCTGGCTTGGTCAGGTCGGGCGGGGTCCATGCCGAAGGCCTCTGCCCGCACCACCTGCCCAAAGCAGCCCTCACCCAGCGGCTTCCCGAGCACCAGCCTGGAAATGAGAAAGCCGAGGCCTCAGCCATGGGAACGTCCTTCCTACCTGGAGCCTGCATGCCCATCCTCTCTCCATGCAGCATACCTGTCCCGGGGGAACTCCCACAGTGGGTCGAGAGGGAGGTCTAGACTCACAAGGCCAGCGAGCAAGGGAGGGCCACTGGAGGAGAGACGGGCACCCCGCACCAAGGAGGAGCTTGACTTGGCCGAAGAACCCGACTCCAGGGAGAACTGTAAGGTGGGTGACTTGGTCAGCCTGCTAGAGCTGAGCTGGGCTGGGGAAGGCAGGCCAAGAGCTTCGCTAGGGGGACACGGTACGGGGTGGGGAACAGCGTGGTACCTGTCGGGCCAGAGGGAAGCGGGACAACTTCTGCACGGTGGCAGGCTGCCTGGGGTGCCGGCTGATGAGTACCTGCCCTCGATGCAGCCCGGCCAGCAGCAGGACAACCAACGCCAGAGAGCCTGACACGTACAGAATGATGTCCGTGTACCTGGCCTCCGGCGCCGCTGCTGTCCATGTGAGGTCCTCCTCTGCCCACAGACAGACGCATATACGGACAGAAAACGGACCGGTCAGTGGTTAGACGGCCAGCCCTAGATCCTCTAACTCAGGCCTCACAGCTCCCAACACACACCGGGACACTCACCAAGAAAGCTGCAGTTATATCCCGCCCTGCACACCCCTAACCCAGAGGGTCACATGGCAGTCGCATGTGGACATGCACAGAAGCACTGCTACGCGAGGAATCAGGCACACAAATCCGCATGCCACGTCCCAAGCCCCACAGGCCAAGGGACATAGCCCGCTGCCGGGTCAGAGAGGGATTCCTGCAGCCTCTCCTGGCCCCCTTGAGTGCTCACCTGGCAGCACCGTGAGCCAGGCTGACTGGTAGGAGAGGCCAATGGAATTGCCCGCCAGGCAGGTGTACTCGCCCGCATCCTCAGCTGACACGTTCCGAAGGTATAGGACCTCCACCTCTGAGCTATTGATGTCTGCTGTCTGGGGATGGGGGACATACTCAGGTGTCACAACAGGGCCAGGAAGGAAGCGGGGGACCACCCCCCCACCTCCATGCCCCATGGGAGGACAGTAGGGTTCAGGGGCTGGCGGGGGCTGGACCTTCAGGACTTGCACGTAGGGGAAGCCGTCGGCCCCGAAACTGCTGCCGTTGATGACGATGTGCTTCAGCCACTGGATGTGGGGCTGGGCGTCGCTGTACACCTTGCACAGCAGCTCGACGTCGCTGCCGGCCACAGCTGTGGTGTTGGCCGGGAGCCCCGCCTGCAGGATGGGCCGGTGCGGGGACCGCTCTGGGGGCCGGGCCAGGCGGTCAACCCTGACCAGTGGCACCCACAGAAGCACCTGGTCACCCGCCTCCAGCAAACCGCCCCCCCCCCCGCCTCAGCTCAAGGGAGGGAACTTCCTGATATGAAACTCAGACCTTGTCCACCCCTGCTTACCCTGCTGAAACCTTCCATAGCTCCCCATTGCCTTTGGAGTCAAGGGCAGCTTCATAGTCTAGCATTCAAAACCCTCCACACGCATGGCTCCCCGCTTAAATGCCACAACCCAGGCGTACACCTCTTCACAAATGCATTGTATTCGTTACACCTAGGACCTTGATTCAGCCTGGGCCCTCTGCCTGGATATCTCTCCCACTTTTTCTCTCAGCTGACCCCTGTTCCTCCAGGCCAACATTACCCCCCGTGCTTCCCTCCCACCCGCGGGGACACCTAGGGCAGCTTGAGCCATCTAAGACTGAGTCCGTCTTGCCTGCCAGACTGGGCGCTACCTGAGGGCAGTGTCAGGGCTCCCACCCCCAGACCGCCTTGCCTGCCCGTGCGCTCACCCAGCACATCCAGCAGATAGCTATAGCGGATGCTGCCCATAGAGTTCTCCACGAGGCAAGTGTATGTGCCACGGTCCGAGGGCACCACGCTTTCCATCACCAGGCTCCAGTGCTGGTGGCGCAGCTGGGGGCAGGGGAAGCATCTGTGAGTGGCCATCCACCTGTGCCCCCCCAGGGGTCCAGGGCATGAAGAGGCTAGATCCCGCCCACAGGGGTCTTCTCAAGCTCTCCAGGCCCTGGGGAGGCCAGGCCAAGGCCAAGAAGTGTCTGAACCCTTGGTTTGAGCCTTTGAGTTTTAGCATGGCCTCTTCCTGGCTGTACCATCGTGAGCCAGTTTTTGCCCTCTCGGAGTCTCAGCTTCCTCACTGCAACCTGGAGCTGACCCTGCAGGGTCTTCCCATGAGAATTAGCTGCTAAAACTCCTTACCTGCCAGTCAGTGAGCCTTCCCACTTTACAAGGAAAGCTAAGCCTGAGAGATTAAGTCACTGGCGGGAGAGTGGCAGAGTGGGGACCCGAATCAGAGCTGTCCCAGTCTGCCGTCTAGTGCTCCTTCTAAGGCCCGCGGCTGCCTTCCTCATTAGAGAAGGAATGACTTCGAGGTCTGAGCAGACTGATGGGGGAGTGAAAATGGAGGAGCGGATGGTCTTAGAACCTAGAGACTCACCCGAATGCCTCCAATGCGATGCTCCCCATGGAAGTCCTGTCCATCCTTGAGCCAGCGGATGGTGGGCGTGGGGTTGCCTGCAGCTGGACAGCGGAACTTGACGGTGTTCCCGGCAGGCACTGCATGCAGTTTCTTCTCCATGCGCTGAGGGTGTGTCCAGTAGGGTGCTGGAGGGGAGGGGAAAGGAGAACTCAGTGCCCCCAGGATGACCACCTGTTTCCACACAGGTCTCTTCTTCTCAGTGACCAGCTGGGAGGTAGGGAACTGAGTCCCTGAGGACTCATACTGACCTTGCTGGGGGTAAATGTGCCCATTCAAGGGGCCCCCGTGGGCTTTAGGGTCCTCATTACCATTGCTGGAGGGCAAGGAGTCTATGTCAGGGATAAAGAGAGATGTCTGAGGTCTAGGATGGGGAGGGTCCCTCTCCCCAGGCACCCTTTAGCCCCTGCTAGGCCCCCTTACCATCCACAACCAAGGTAACATTGCGCAGGACAAGCATGGAGCCTCGTGCCAGGCAGAGGTAGCCGCCAGCATCCTCCGGTAGGAAGCTGGCAATCTCCAAGCGGCCCCTCCAGCCTCGTACCCGGCCAGCAGGTGGTAGGCGACTGCCCTCCTTGTACCAGTGGCCACCACGCTCAGCCCGGCCACAGCACAGCCGCATAGGCTGCCCAAGGACCACGGTCAGCTCCTGCTCTCGCTGCTCTGGGCTGGGGGCCAGGCAGGGCTCTGTGGGCCAAGGGCAGAGGTCAGTGAGCCCCCCACAGCCCCAGCTGAGGGAGCCCCCTGCGTACGGAGAACATGCTGCACAGGCCGGGCACATGCTGGACAGCTGCTCCTCAACATACACACATCATCACATGCTACAGACGCTGTGTGTGAGGCAGTCGCCACGCCTCTGTGTGCATCACACACATGGTGCAGAGCATACATGCTGGGCTGGGCATGCCATTGCCACCCCCCCCATGCTATCGGTGCCACCTCCAGGGCACAGCACACTCACGCTGCATACACCACACATGCTGCTAGGCCTCCCAAACCACACACCTGGTGCACAGAACACACACACACACACACACACACACACACACACACACGGCCAGGAGCTCACCACCAGCTCTGCAGCCCAGCTCAGGACCCTTCACCCTGCAAGGCCATTCCTCTCTTGTGGACATAGAGATAGGTGGACGCTTGCTGGGAGCCAGACACTGAGTCTCAGTGCTTGAGCCCTGCCCTGCTGTCACCTCCTCAGGGACTGGGCCAGGTCCTTTCCAGCTTTGCTCAGCTAGTAGCCCCCTCCAGGTTGCCCTCCCCTGCCACCCGCTCCCACCTTAAAAGCCATACCTAGCTCCATTTCCTCAGAGGCTTCAAGGGACAAAGCTGGAGCCCCAGGCACCCCCACCAGGACCCCCAGCAGGGCCAACAGCAGCCACATATCCTTCCTGCTGCTCACAAGGCCCCAGGCGGGGCTTACCACCGACTGCCTTCCTGCAAAGGAGGGAGAAGAACTCCTGCTAGGCATGCACCTTTGGTGGTGCTATTCCCCTATTTTGCAGATGAAGAAACTGAGACCGGAAGTGGTCAGAGGACTTGTCCAACGCCCCCCCCCCCCGCCCACGCAGCAGCACGGCAGAGACTGGAAGAGGCTCTGCTGTTGCCAGAGCCCAAAGCTTCTTCACAGTGCAGGGGGACAGGGCCAGGCTTCCTGCTCTCCTCCGGTCCTGCTGAGACCCTGGCACAAGTTCACAGAAAGGGCAGTTTGGGGATTCTTTCCTTGGAGGAAAGCAGAGAACGGAGACATATCTTCTGCTTGCTCTCAGCACACATAATTTATTTTTTGCTGAATAAATGAATTTATTGCTGAAGAACCAAAAAAAAAAAAAAAAAAGAAATCTAATACAAGGCCAGACTTGAGCATCTGGATGTTATCTGAGCTGACCCGCACGTCTAGCATCGCTGACATTTTCATGGCCAGCTTTGAATACCTTCAGCGGCAGAGCGCTCACTCCTAACAAAGCAGCACATTCCATAGCAAGCAGAAGTTCCTCCTCATTCTGAACCAGAATGGCATGCTGGGAATACATCTGCTTTTTGTGTCCTCACAACTCTGTTTGAGGCAACAGGCTCTATGTCCAACAAAGCCAAGTTCTAATCCTGACTCTTACCCACTTGCAAGTCCCCGTCCCTCTCTGGGTGCTGTCCTCCGAGGGCTGCTTTGAGGATAAAAGAGACCATATATGTAGGGGTTGGAAACACAGAATGTTGGCATGTTCTTCCCCTCCCTCCCCGTGACTCTCACCCTGGGTCTGCCTTTGGCCAATTACCTCTGATTCTGGTGCGGTTCCTGCCAGGTATGATGTACACACCCACCCTATCCATATGCCAATAAGGATGTCTCCATCTCCCAAAGGAACACTCAAAACAGCCTCAGCTGGGGCAGGGGAAGAGGTGACCAATGTAATCCCAGGGGACTACTGGCTATTACTTGGGGCTTCATAAGTCAGGAGGCACTGGTGTCTACGAATCTATCTTGCCCAGGAAGCTCACTGCACCCTCTCTTCAGCCACTGCCCCCTTTCAGCTCTGGCTGAGGCAGGGGGCACTTAGCTTGTCCTGACCAAAACCATCACCTCCCCCATCCAACTGTTCGTTCCCTGGGTTGCTCCCACAGGTGGGGCATCATCTCTTCCCATCTGCCTTCACCCCTCCTCTACTTCCAGTCCCATCTGCCTCCTCAATCCTTCTCCAGTCCATCTCACCTCCCTTGCTTGGACCCAAGGCAGGCCATGGTCATCTCTAGCTTGGGCCTTTGCAAACATCTCCCTTGGCTCTCCAGCCTCCACTCCCCAGCAGGGCTTTAGAAATTACAAGTATCTGCCATGTCACCACCCCATATCCCCAGCTTTCAAGCCCTTAATGGCTACCCATGTCCAGCAGGATCCAATCCACAGTTCATCCAGCATTCTAGGCCTCCCTCCCTGCCCTTGTCAATATCTTTAGTTGCACGGTCAGCTCCTTCAACCTCTTCACCAGGAAAGCCATTGGCTTTCAAAACTGGGCATGTCTTCTCTCTTGCACATACATACCTCTGTGTCCCCATTTCTCTTCTCCACCCGACTCAGATGCCACTGTCCCTGCACCCACCCCCAGTTTCCATGGCCCTCCTCCATAGAATCCCCCCACCCTGCTCTGCTCTGCAGGGAGAGCAGCCCTCTGGGTCCACAGCTCCAGTTGGGAGAGGGGCGGAGGCCTGGGGATTTTATTCCCATTCCTAGGCTGCCCCGACCTTGTAACCTCAGGACCCTTCCTCGGATCACACGCGGCCTCAGACAGACCGACCCACCGCCTTGCTCAGGGGCTGAAGGGCCTGCCTCTGGCATCAGACAGTCCTGGGTTCTCCTCCAACCTCCCGCACTCAAGCGTTGGGGGACCCTGGGCAAATGACCGCACCTCTCGGATCCTCAGCTTCCTCATCTCTACTCGGGCCGCGCAGACGGTCCAGCAGCCGAGGGACCAGCGCGCTCTTCTTCCTCCACCCTTACCCTGCCACCCTGGGGGGAGGTGCGAGTCGGCAGGTCCAGAGGGGGAGCTGCAGAGACAGCCGGCCCGCCCCCGCCCGGGTGGGCAATGAGTAACCAGCTCCACCGCCAGGGTGCTCTTTGGACGGAGCGGGACAAAAGGCCCTGTGTGCGCTGCGGGTTACTGATTTACCGTCTCCTCCACCCCCCTTCCGAGAGGACGCCCAGGTCCCCAGTACTGGGAGGGGGCAGCTCCCTGAGCCCCGCTGCCGCTCGCCCTCTGGCGGCGGGGAGCGCAGCCTGGGCCAGCAAGGGGTCCCGGCTCACCTCGAGCCTCTGTGGTCCCGCTCCAGGCACAGGGTCCCGGCTCACCTGGCTCCTCCGCGGCCCTGCTCCCAGCTCTGGCCGGTCCCGACACCCGCGCCCAGCGGGGACCGCAGACTCAGCCGGGGCGCTCCTCCGCCCCGGGCCAGAGAGCCAGGAATGCACCCGCGACAGCGGGGTGGCCGCGGGAGGCCCAGCGCCACGCCCACCTCGGGCCCCGCCCCTCCTGGACCAGCTCTATCCTGACAGCGGCTTGGCGGGGGACAACCCAGCGCCCCGCCCACCCCCGGCCCGGCCCCTCCTGGACCAGATCTATCAAGAAAACCACGACGCAGCGAGTAGCACAGCGTCCCGCCCACCTGGAGACTAGTCCCCAGACCCAACAGAGCCGAGTGTCCCACTGGGTCAGCCCAATCCCGGGGCCCCTCCCCGGCCTGCTACACACCCCATCAGACTCCGCCTCTTTTGCCGCACCCAGACCAGGCTTCCAAGTTTTAGTTATTTGCGTTATCCTGTGCTCTTCACCCCTTTTAGGGAGCAACACCCAACAGTCCTGACCGGCCAGCCTCCACAGACCTTGGCCCAACCTGGCTACTCTGTCTTCTGTCACCACACAATGGCTAGGAGATCCCTTCTGCCTCCAACCACTCCCATCCATTCTCTGCACAACCTTTAGAGTGATATTTGAAATACAAATCTGGGGGCGCCTGGCTGGCTCAGTTGTTGGAGCATGCCACTCTTGATTTTGGGCTTGTGAGTTTGAACCCCACGTTGGGTGTAGAGATTACTTAAAAATAAAATCTTTTTTTTTTTTTTTAAAGATTTTATTTATTTGAGAGAGAGAATGAGAGACAGAGCACGAGAGGGAAGAGGGTCAGAGGGAGAAGCAGACCCCCAGCTGAGCAGGGAGCCTGACGTGGGAATCATCCCAGGACTCCAGGATCATGACCTGAGCCGAAGGCAGTTGCTTAACCAACTGAGCCACCCAGGCGCCAATAAAATCTTTTTTAAAAAAGATTATTCGAGGGGGGAGGGGCAGAGGGAGAGGGACAAGCAGACTCCTCGCTGAGCAGGGAGCCCAAGGTCCGGCTGGATCCAGGAACCCTGAGATCATGACCTGAGCCAAGTCAGACACTTAACCAACTGAGCCACCCAGGTGCCCCTTAAAAATAAAATCTCAAAAGAAGAAAGAAAGGAAAGAAATACAAATCTGAATGCTTTAAGACTTTCCACTAGTTTCCCATAATGATTCTTGGCATGACTGGCCCCTGGCCACATCTCCAGACAAATCCTTCATTTCTTTCCTTGCTCCCACTCTACCTCTGGGACTTTGCACATACGGTTCCCTCTTCCTGGAATGATTTTCCCCTAGGTCTGGTTGGTTCCATCTCATTCTTAAATGTCAGCGCACTTCCTCAGAGAAGCCCTCTGGACCTGCCAGGTTCCTCTTAGATGCCTTCTGTCCTGTGAGCATGGAGAAAGAAGCAGGAAGTGAAGTGATTCAAAGCACAGATTTCAGGACTCAAATCTCAACGTCATCACACTTGGAGTAAACTTGGCAGGGTAGTCCAATGTGTTTTCATTTTCTCATCAGTAAAGTAAGTATAATGATAGATAGTATCTTCCTCATGAAGTTTTTGCAAAGAGTAAACACGTGTAAGCCTGTAGAACACTGCCTGGTATATGGCACTTGCTTTGTAATGTTAACTATGATTATTTAGGACCTGCTATTTCTTCATCTTCATGGAACATTCCAGAACTGTAACTAAACAGTTGTGTACATAGAAGGCAGGAACTGCCTACAGACTTCAACATTGTATCCCAAGTGCCTGGCACACAGTAGGTACCCCCAAATAGTTCTGCCCCACCTTGCTCAGGTCTGCCTCATTTGCAAGCGTCTCTCCCCTTGAGCAACTAGACAGTGGCCGAACTAGGAGGGCAGCTCACCTTTGACCTCTGCCCGAGCCTCACCTGAAGTCTAAGCCCTCCACTCTTCGGTTGGCTTCTTGAAGAGAAAGGAAACCCCTAAGCTGGGGTCTCAGACTCATCTCCCGGTGCCCCTCTGGCTGGTGGAAACCCTGCCCTAAGGGAGGCAGCTTCCTTTCCTATTGTTATGCAGAGGAGTCTAGCTCTCTCCACCCTTACTCCCTATGGGATAGAGGCTTTTCCTTTGCATAACTAAAAAAGCCCAATAAAGTGATTTTTTTTCCTTCTCAAACAAAATAATGGTCTCCTCCCAAAGATAAATCAGAAAACAATTGGCTATCTTTTAAAACCAGCTGGTTCTGATTCCCCTTATTCAGGGTCCTTCCTTGCTGGAGCACCTGGAAAAGTTGAGGCTCCTGGCACTGGGGGAGCCCAGCAAATGGAAGCCTCCAGCCCAGAGAGGCCTCACCGGACCTCCTGGACTCCTGGAGAGATCCAGCTCCCCACCTCTGGTCCTCTGCTGGCTCCCCTTAGTGAATGCGGTTGTTGGGGGGTAGAGTGAGCTGCCAGCAGGGGCTGGACCCCACACAGCTTTCATTCAACTTCCAGGCACTTCTCAGGTTTACCTGAGCCAAAGGCAAAGGAAACGCTTTCATAGCCCAGGCTGCACAAACTCCCTGCCTCCTGAGATGCCCAAAGTCCTTGACTGGCAACCATATACCTCCCACCCCCCACGTCTGCACATCCCTTGTCCACCTCCCATCCCACACTCATGACCTCTCACACTGACCGTCTGTGGCATCTGATGCTCTTTCACGTTATTCATTCATATACACATTCATTTGCCAGGTGTCAATTAAAGGTTCATTATGTGGTATGCACCGTTCTGAATCGTGGGGATAAAGCAGTCATCTGACCCAGCCCCTCCCCTTCAAGGAGCTGCTGACATTGTAGTGGGGGGAGATGGGTAAGTAAACAGCACAGAAGGAGACATGCTGAGGAAGTCTGCAAGAGGCATCCAAGCCTGTCTCCCCATCATGGTCTCACTCTCTTGGTAACCATCTTCCACCAGTTACATTCGCAGTCTCTCTCTCAAAACCTTTCAAACACGACCTCTCTCCACTCTCTCCCTCTCTCTCTCTTTCACACACAAACACACACCCCTAGCAGGGGCTCAGGAACCTGCCATCCTAAGATCCTGCCTTTAGCCTGCCTCTGCCTCAGTTTCTCTATCCAGAAAATGGGCACACTCCTGCTTCCTTTTCCCCAGGGATGTTGGAGGAAGTGAATGAGTTAAGAGATGGGACTGGGTTTCAGCAGAACAGGAAGCAGGGAGGAAGTTCTTTGCCTTGGCTGAGCTCCCACTGTCTGCCAAGTGACATGCTAAGCTAGGTGTTACATATGCATTATATCCTTTGATCCTCCCCCCAAACCAAATGTGGTTAGAATCCTTAGCTCCATTTTGCAGGTAAGGAAACAGAAGCTCAGGCAGATGGAATGACTTGTCTAAAGGGCGATTGGCTGGCTTAGTCTTAGTAACTCTTAGCCTTAGTAACTCTTAGCCTTGGTAACTCTTGATCTCAGGGTCATGAGTTCAGGCCGCACGTTGGGCATAGAGCTTACTTAAAAAAATAGTAAAAAAATAAAGTCACAGAACTGAGCCTTGAGCCTTGATCTTCTGGGACAAAGAGGGAAAGCTCAGGGTGACTCTCCACAGAGTTGGGATTTTTGATGCTACTGCATCAGCCTGCTTTCTACCCCCATCCTTAACTTCAGCCCAGGAAGGTGCAGACTCACCCAAAGGTGAGGCACTGGGCACTGCTCTCCCTGCCCATTTGGCTAGTACTGATGGGGCACCTATGAAGTACCAGGCCCTAGGCAGAGGTTTGCAGACTCTGGGTTCCTGAAGTGCAAGGCTGGGACAGGAGGGACTCCTGAGGCCAGGCCCTGCCCCCCACCTGCCTGAGAGCAGAGTTGGGGGGAGGGGACAAGCATTGCCTGGTGCCGACCATGTTGCTCTTGGATGGCAGCCGGGCCCAGGGAACACTGGGGCTCTTGTGCGGAACGACTGCCCCGAGCCCCTGCCCAGGCCCCATTCCAGCCCAGGCCTGGCCCAAGCCCTGGCCTCTGAGCCAGCCGTGTGCTTTCTTGTCTTCTTTCCTTTAAAATGATTTTTATTTTGAGAAAAATTTAAAATATATATAAAAAAATGCACAGGGTAATATCATACACTTGCTACTCAGAATTGACAATTGTTATTACTTTTTCACCTTTTCTAACCCCTTTCACCCTGGCTTCTCCCACGGACTCCAGGGAGGTCTGGCTGGGCTTGTCAACACGGAGGTGATG